CCCCCCACACACACACATACGCGCGCGCACACACACACACACACACACACACACACACACACACACACACACACACACCTCGTCCATGAGCCGCGCGATGGTGTCGGCATCCAGGTGCCCCAAAAACACGAGGTGGCCGGGCGCATTCGCGGCGCTGCTTCGAGAGTAGCTGTCGAACAACGCGTCACCAGGGTTTTGCAGGTCGGGCACGGGCGGGTGCGGGGCTTCAGCACGAGGCGACGCAACCGGACACCCGTTTGCATGCCGCTTCGAAATGAGGCAGCTTCTACCTGGGGCGACCGCAGTCATGACACAGACATGGCGCCGGAGCTGCGCTCAGAGCCGGGGGGCTGCAAGCCCCTGGCAGAGGGCGCGTGTCCGGCCCACCTGCCGCGTTGGTACTTGGTGGCTGTGTTGAGCGCGTCAACCAGGCGGCCAGTCATGTAGGGCAGCGCGGTGAACGCTATGAGCAGCATACCCATCGTCTTTGGGGGTGGTGGGGGTGAGCAATCGCGGAATGCAGGAGAGGGGTGACCTTGCAGAGGCCGCGGGAAGCGCTTTGTTGTGGGGCGGCGCGGCCGCGGTGCGGGCGTGGCTGCTGCGAGCAGAGGACAAGCTTTGCTGGCCCTGGCGCAAGCATTGGCACGAAGATTTGTTGCAGAGCACCAGCCGGTCGCGCGGAACCCTTTGACCTGTGCGGAACCCTGGGATCTGTGGGGGGCTCAGGATCCACCGCAGGCAGCACGTGGCTGCATTGGAAAAGGGCAGGCGTGTGCTGCCCCCCAAGGCGCACCATGGTCTGTGTCGGCCACCACGTCGGGCTAATGTCACCGTACCCGACGGCTGATGGGGGACACGAGGGAGGCGGGAGTCGAGCAGACCGGCGCTGTGACCGTGCGCGATGAAAGCGCGGCGGGCAAAGCGTGCAGCTGCTAGAAGCCACCGTGCTGAAACCACACCAGCACCCTGATTGAAAGTCCTGACATGACCCGATCCCTGCCTTGAAATCCTCAACAGGCTGTTGCAGCCAACAAAGGGCAGCCCCTGCAAGCCGGCACGCCGCCGCAGCCGCCGCGCGCCGCGGCCGGCGCAGCGCAGTCACCGCGGGGCCCCGAAAGAAACGCGACAGCTCGGGGCGGAGCGGGGTGTGCGGCGGGGGGCGGGCGGCGGTGAACTCACTGGTCAGAGTAATGGTGGCCCAGTAGAGCGCCTCGTGAAAGTGCAGGATCTTGATCTCTGGGTCGTCCTTGTTCGGGCCCATCCGCTCAGCCTCCAAGAACAGGGCTAGAGGAGGGTGGGCGGCGTTGTGGCCGCGGCACGGGCACAAGGCGGGCAAGCGGATGCGGGGCTTTGTGCGAGCGCAGAGAGCAAGGGGAGCAGCGGAGCCCCGGGCCAGGCGCGTGGGCCTGAGCCGTTCTCTGGGCACCTGGTCAGACAGCAGATCACTCAGCAGATCTGGAGGATGCACCCTGATCAATTGCGGATCAGAGCCTCACCCGCCGCCACGACCATCATCGAGATCATCGTGAGCCCGAGGTTGACAAACGCCCGTGACACCGCGCTCTCCAGGCGCTTGGTCGCCTGCAAGCGCCAGACCAGGAGGGCGTGTGTGAGTTGGGCACAACTGCACGCGCCTCAATGCATGAGCGGGTCAGTGGGTGTTTCTAACACCAATCTGTGCTGCATCCCACGTGCACCGACACTAGCACTTGTGCTCGTGTGCCCAGACAGGCTGACCAACAGGCCAAATCGCAGGTGAGGCTAGGCAACAGCACGCGCCACCCCCATCCCCTCTGCCCCCCTGGGGCCATGCGGAGGGCGTCTCGAGTCCCCAAGCCGCGGCTCGCCTTTGTCATGTTGAACAGCCGCAGCACCCTCAGCACGCGCAGGATGCGCAGGAACGACAGCGCCACCAAGCTGCTTGAGTGGTAGGCCACAAATACTGGCACGATGGTGATGACGTCAACCAGCGTTGACCAACTCAGCAGGAAGCGGACGCGGCTCTCGGCCAGCCACAGGCGCAGCAGAAAGTACAGCGCGAAGTAGCAGGCCAGGGACAGGTCGATCGTGGACAGGACAAAATCGATGCTGTACACGCTGCAGGAGACAGAATGAGAGCATTCCGGCAACATGTGTGTACGTGTGTACGTGTGTGCGTGTGTGCGCGCATGCGCGTGCATGCGTGCGCGTGCGCGCGTGTGCGGGCGCACGCACATGGACGCACAGGCGTGCGTTTGTGGGCATGTGCATGCTCAAGCACGAGAAGTGACTACTGGAGCGCAAACAGAACGGTCGTAGTGCGACCGCGTCAGCCGTTGAACCCTCAGTTCCCGCCAAACGCCCGCTGCCAAACGCCCTGCTCGGCTGCCAGCGGCGTCGCCGTCGCTGGCGTCACCGCCCGCTGCCAGCGTCACCTGTACGTGGTCATGACGTAGATGGCCACGCTGGCCAGTGACAGCACCGCGTCGACATACACCAGCGCATTCTCCCCGCCGCTCGCCTCCAGTCGGTACCGCACCTGAGCATCAGGGCGCATCAGTTGGTTGCAGTTGAATGTGGGCAGAACCAGGAGGCCTGACGGCAGCTTCTTAGCCCGGCTGAGGTGGCTGGCGCTTCTGCAGTGCCCTACCGCTTTGCTCGCCCTTGCAGAGGGGTTCCCCCTTGCGAACAGGTCGTGGCGTCATCAGCGTGCAATACCCGGCGCATGGCCTCGGAGCTGGCCGCCGCCGTCGCACCTGGCGCCGCAGGTGCACCAGCGCAGCCATGTCGATGCCGGCGCTGCCAGCCAGCAGCCTGGGGTGTTGGCGGCGGTGCATGCGGCGGCAGGGTCCGCATGGCTGATCTCGATCCGACGAGGCTGCTCGTCCTGCTGCCTCACAGGCCTTTGCAAAGCGGCCTGCGCCATGCCTAGATGCTGCCTTGGTGCAATGGAGTCGTGTATAGTGGGGGCCGCCCGCCCTGCTCCCATAGATGCGTGTATCGGATTGCGGCAGTGCGGCGCGAGCCTGCTGCGCGCCGCCCAGAACAAAAGTGTCACGGCACAGCGCCCCCACAAACGCAAGGCGTATAAGACTCACGTGTTTCTTTCATACTCATATCGCCTCGCTCTCTCGCGCCGTGAGGCCGACGCATCAATGATGCGGAGGCCCATCACGGCCGACCGGGCGCCAGTGACGAAGTTCAAAGGTAAGTTTTAGGGCGTGATGAGCTCCATCTTATATGCGGGTGCTTCCTACTCGCGGCCGTGGCTTGGGCGGATGCCGGTCTCAGCAATCAAGCAAGGACTCCCTCCACACTCGCGACAGATTCAATCGAGGTTGACATGACTTCAAGGAGAGCAGAGCCGCACTGGCTAGGTGCCGACCCGAAGCGGCCGTGAAACCGCTTGAATCGGCACCAGGGTGAGTGCAGGGTGACCGCTTGTGAAAAGACGGGTGGCAACGGCATAGGCCGATGCGAGCGCTCATCTGCTGGTGCGCACTCAAGTAAGGAGATGATAAAGCAAAACCTGATGGATTCGAGCCGTTTGAACATTGTGCAGCCGCGGATGCGGCGCCGCTTGCCGCTGCGAATGCGCATCGGCTCATTGGGCGTCCGACGCCTGCTGCTCCAGCTTCCGATCTTCCAGCTTGGCCGCAACACAAGTATGCGCCGCCCTCAACGGATGTAAGACCAAACAAGGCTCGCTAGCCATCGGCTGAACTGCAGAGTTTGGTTGATGTGCGGACGTGGGCCCACAAGCGCAGGCATTTTGTTGTCCCCCTTGATGAAATCTGCGGTCAATTGGCAAGCGTTGCAATGTGATGTGGCGGCCGCTGATGAGTGCCGCCACTGCAGGGCAGCGGCTGTCGACGCTGTGCAGAGTGTACCAGGCCATGCAGCACCCTGTGGGTGCCATGCACCTCGGCTGCCTGTCACCTCACTCCAATTACCCTACCCTACCTACACCCTCGACAACACGTCCCTGCATGCCACCCATCGCTCCTTGCGCCGCTGCAGCGCCGCAATTGTGTCGCCACTCGCAAACATTTTACTGTACAAGCGTGAAAGAAAATGAGCACTAGTTATTCATTGATCGTGCCACTGCCGTTGTCTCCGCCGCTGCTGACGCCGGCACCCCCATACGGCGCCATCAGCCGCTTCGCCGCCTGCGCCGCCTCGCACTCCGCGCGGTGGCCCATCTTGCACCAGTGGTCTCGGCAGCAGCGCTGGCTGCAGTACCGCACGCCCGTCAAGCTGCCACACCCCGCGCACCGCCGCAGCGCCGCGCCCTCCGCCTTGGTCCTGCCGCAGGCTGCGCAGCCGCGCCGCTGCCGACGCTGCTGGTCCAGGCCGGGACCCGTCGGCACCGCAGCCGCGCCAGCTGGCACTGCTAGTAGTGCCTGTGTCGGGGACGCCGATGTGGATGCTGCTCTCGCGCTTGCTGCTGCTCCTACAACTGCTGCTTTGCCTGCGCCTGCTGCTGCACCAGATGCCGTGCCTGCGCCTGCGCCTGTGCCTCCTGCCGCGCCTGCTGCTGCTCCTGCTGGTTTCTGTGCTGCCGAGCTTGTTGATGCTGCCTGGGCTTCTGCCACGCCTCGCCGGTGTTCAGCGGGCTCAAGCAAATCGTGCTGCTGCTGCTGCTGCTGCTGCTGGTGCTGCTGCTGCTGCCCTGCCAGCTCTCCCTGCTGCTGCTGCTGCTGCTGCTGCTGCTGCTGCTGCTGCTGCTGCTGCTGCTGCTGCTGCTGCTCCTCCTCCTTCTGCTGCAGCAGCTGCTGCTCCTCCTCCTTCTGCTGCCGCTGCTGCTGCTGCCGCCGCCCTCGCCCTTGCTCGCCCCGTGGCGCAACCTGCGCATCCTCCAACGCCCCCGGCCGAGCGCCCGCGGGACACTCTGGCTGCCCCGCGGCCGCGGCATTTACGTCACACATGAGCGCCTCGTACCTCTCTCTAGACTTCGACTCGGCGCGCGTCGCTGACGCAGCAATCAGCGCCCTGGAAGCTTCCAGCGCGGCCGCCGGGCGGGGCGATGCCTCCAGGAGCCCCCGTAGACGCGCGCTTTGCGCTGCTGACTCGTCGCTGGCATGAGCCGTGCCGAACAGGCTGGCGATCAGCAAGCAGGTGCTATCGTAGTCGCTTTTGTAGGGCCCACCCACTGCGACTCGCACTGCAGGGTGTCCGGCTGCAAGGGCGCGCGCGGCGCCGCCAGGTCTGCCTGCGCGTGGCCCTCTGCCGGCGCCAAACAGTGCCAGGCAGTCCTCACGCGCCTGCAGGGCTGTGCGCAGGTCTGAGCTGAGCCCGTTCAGCAGCGCGTGGGCGCGCATGTAGGTGGTGCTCGGGCACGCCGCCGCGCCGGCGCTCTCGTCCCCGTCCCCATCGCCGCCTCCGCCTCCGCCGCTGCCCGCGCGCCCCGCCTCCATCTCTATCCAGCACAGCGCCTTGCAGCGCCACGCCTCTTCAATCCCCAGCGCCAGCAGCACCAGCGCGCTGACACGCCCGCAGCCGCCGATTCGCAGCAGCGCGGCCCGCAGCTCGTCGCACACGGCCAGCGCATTATGCGGCGGCAGCTGCCCGTTCAGGTCGAGGCGCGGGCCGTGCGGGTCCTGCAGCGCGGTGATGATGAAGGCGGCCAGCATCTGGCGGGCGGACTCGTGGGAGCACGTGCCTTCTGTTGCCGCCGAGGCCACCAAGGTCCAGCATGCGCCCGGGACGCCGGGGCAGGGGACAAGATATGGCAAACGGGCCAAATGGCCGGCCGGGGTGCCTGCAACGTTTGAATGGGCGATTGAGCTCATGCTTATGTTGTGTTTGTGAGAGGAAGGAGGCTGGCGGAACAGCAGGTCTGCAACTGGAGCTCCCACCGCAATTATGGCATGGTGCCGCGTTCAATCACCTGCACCTGTTGCACCTTTGAAGCGCCGGACGGCGGCCGCAATCGCAGCGTCGCCGCCCGAGGGGACGAGCGCCACCGCGGCCTGGAGTGCGCGCGCGTACTCAGGCCCGCGCATCGCACAGGCGCTGAGCAGCTCAGCAGCAGCGCTCTGCAGCTCCACGCGCCCCTTCGCCGCACAACGGTGCACGGCGTCGGTCGAGCACCACGTGTCTGCAAGCTCGTGCGCCGGCGGCTGCAGGCATGCCAGCGCAGTGCTGAGCAGCTCAGGGTACAGCCACTGGCCCAGCGGCTGCCGCAGCAGGCTGGAGGGGTCGCCACCTGCGCGCGCCGCCGCGACGAGCTGCGCGCCTGCAGCAAAAGTGCCGCTGTCCAAGGCGGGGAGCGCGGGGATGCGCTTGGCCAGCGCCCCGACGGCGCGCGCCGCGGCGCGTGCGGGGCCGTCGCCGCTGATGGGTTCGCGAGGCGAGGCGGCGAGGCGCGCGAGGCGGCAGACCTCAAGGATGAGGCCTCCATGCTGCCATAGCACGGCGCTGTGCGGGCCGCCGGACGACGCCGCCATGTCCACCACCGAGGCCGCAGCGCCTATCGCCCTTGCAATCACGTCGGCCCTCATGACGCCGCCGTGCGCGAGTATGGAGGACAGCGCAGCGAAGCAGTCTGCCTGGCGTTGGACCAGCGTGTCGCGCGCGGGGCCCGGGGCCAACTGACTCAGCACGCTGCACATGGGGTGCACCCCCCACTCGTCGCAGCCCCCGTCGCACACAGAGAACAGCGCTGCGTCTGGGTCGGCCGCCGCTGCAGCCGCCGCGGCGGCGCTGTTCGCGACGAGGCCGTGGAACGCTTCGCGCGCGTCGCAGGCGAGAGGGCCCTCGCCGGGCGGGTGGTCGCCGGGTTCCTTGGCGTGCGTCAGGTGGCGCCTGAGCAGGACGGGCAGGGACGGGCAGGCGGCTCCCAGCGCATACCCCCCTTGAATGTCCTAAGGAAGGAGGGGGCGGCAACATAAGGCGAAAGCGGGGCAGAGAATGATCGGTCGTCGAAGGCCGCCGCACAGCGCCGCGAGCGGCAGCGGCAGGTGGGGTGCGGGGCACGTGCATTGGGCAGCGGTGGCTGTGCGTTTGGGCGTCTGGGGCGGCCGCACCCTCCCGAGCCAGGCTGCGTGGCTTGCTCAGGCCTGGCCCAATAATCCTCACCTGGGCAATCACCCTTGCCAGCTTCAGGCCCTGCACCAGGAACTGCTGCCACGTCTCATCACCTGACCCAGCGTCCTCCTGCCCGCCGCCCCCGCCAGCCGCCTGACTCCGCAGGAAGAAGCGCGCCAGAGCGCGCCCGACCGCGCCGCACATGTCCGCGCCGCCGACCTGTATCACCGTGCGCTTGTTGCCCAAAAAGAGGTTTGCCAGTATCGTGGCAGCGGCCTCCACGATGGTGGGGCGCGGGTGGTCCAGCAGCGCGGCGACGGCGGGCACCAAGCCAGGCTCCCGCATTAGCGAGGGCCAGCTGGAATGACCCACTGATATGTTCCTGCGGCCCGAAACGGCGACGGGGGCCGCAGCGGCGGAGCTCGGCGCGGCAGCGGTCGTGGCCGGGAAGCGGAGGCGGGGGTGCGGGAAGCTCCGGGGGCTATCGGGCAGTTGCAGCTCGCTGGGCCGCCGCAGCCAGCAGCTGCTGGGGTTGCGATGTTTGAACGCTCGAAGCCCGGTGCACGCCTGCAGCGGGCATGTGCAGCTATATGCGACTAGAGCGCCGCGCCGGAAGCACGGCTGGCTCTGCAATGCGTTCCCAGTCCTCACCAGACCACATCTAATGCCTGTGACGTCGCCGTGTCGCTGGCTGCCCCGCCGGCGCCGCCGCTGCCGCCGCTGCCGCCACCGCCCGCACGACGGCTCCCGCTGCCGCCGCTGATGCCGTGCGGGAACAGATCGGGGTTGCGGAGGGCCAGACGTGGTCGGCGTTGGGGCTTTGGGGCATGCAGGCATGCGGATTCAACCGCAGCCAGCTGATTCGTCCAGTTGCTGGTTTGAGAACCCTGGAAATTCTAGCTTGCAACTACACACGCTACAGGCGCACGATCTGCAGCCCCGTGCCGCACGCCCCCGTAAGGCCGCGTACCTGCTTCCTGCGTGCGGCACGGCGGCCACGATGTGCCGCGTGACGGCTGCAATCACCCCAGGTTCGTCCTCCACCACCTTTACGCTGCGCTCTAAGTCCCACCTGTGGATGGGTGAGACCGCTGGTCAGCAGACGCGCCCATCTGGGCATGAAAAGCAATAAAGCTGCTGAGCCCACTGGTCAACAAGCCCAGGGCGCTCGGCCAGACAGCCGCAGGGTGCTTGCGGGCAGCATCACGGTGACAACCGCACTTAAACACAGTCCTAGCAGCCTCCGGCATGGCAGACTGAGCAGGCACAAACTTGTGAGGAACGTGGGGCACCTCTTGCCCGCCGGCCGCGCGGCGTGCTGGCTAACTCGGAAGCACGCTGTTGGCTACAGCCGAGCGCTCACGTTAGGTCAGACAGCAGCTTGAGCGCATCCTCCGCTATGAGTGCATTGGGGTTGCCCGCCAGCGCCACCACCGCCGCCAGCAGCCCCGGCTCCTCAACAATCTGTGGGCGGGGATGGACGAGCGAGGGCGGCGCGCGGTGGATTCCGCAACATGCGTTGGGCAGCACAGAGCAACCCGCCTCGGCCGGCCGAGCTGGGGGGGGGATGACCGATGAGTTCACGGCGATGACGGGCGCAGTACCCGGTGGCTGGGATGCACTCTTGGCGCGTGCTGCTGGCAGGTTTCGGTTGCAGGCAGCGGCTGGGGGTGTGTAGGGGCCCACCTGGAGGCAGCGGGCCGCCGCATCGCCAGAGGTCAGGTGTAGGAGCAACTTGAGCGCCGCCCGAGACGTAGCCTGGCGGAGTGCAAGGCGCAGGGGGCGAGGAGGAGAGCGGGGAACCAGGGTGACGCACGACTGCCGTTTGTAATGCGGCAGGGGTTAAGGGAACGAGTGAAGGACCAATGGAAATGCAGCTTCATCACGGCGCCCACAGAGGCGGCGCCAAGGCTCGACCAGGTGTCTGCTGCTGCGCGACTAGCAGCAGCCCACGCAGGTGTGCCAGCGCGGCCGTCAAAGCCAAAGCGAGCTCTGCTTCGACGGGCGATGCGGCCCACCAGCTGATTGACAAGGGGCAGCAGCGCGCGCAGCGTGCCGGGCCACAGCCGCGCGCCGGCAGCCGCCTTTGCAGCGTTGCGCACGTCCCACAGCGCGCCCTCTGCGCGCTCCAGCACTTGGCCCAGGGGGTGGCGCTTGCGCAGGACCTGCGGCGTGAGTGTGTGCGTGTGCGCGTGTGTGTGTGTGTGTGTGTGTGTGTGTGTGTGAGTGAGAGAAAGAAAGAGGGAGAGAGAGAGAGAGAGAGAGAGAGAGAGAGAGAGAGAGAGTGTGTGTGTGTGTGTGCGCGCGCGCGCCCGCGTGCATGTGTGCAGCTTGACGAGCAGGGCGAACATGAGAGACGTGCGTCGGTGCAGCATGGGGAGCATGACATGTACAACCTCACGCAACACGCCCATGACTGAGTGTGGCATGCCCCCCCCCCCCCCCC